TGGTAATGGTTGGGTGAGAAATCCTTCCATTTGCACAGTGGGTCAAAATCGGCTCTGCTCCAAGTTTTAGATATTGCAAAAATCAGTACAAGGGCTAAGTGCCAATGGAAGTTCCCCTGACTTGAATTGTTGTGACTTTTCTTTTGGAGCTATCTCAGGAGCATCTGTGCTCACAATTCCTCCACCAGATATTGCAAAACCTCGAGAAAGAATTGCCCATGGGCTGCTTTTCTCTGCTTTAACCCACAGATGACTCAGGGCTGAACCATGCATGACATGGACAGATGAGCGCATCTTTATGTGCAAGGAAGTGGTGGCAATTTTGAGGGGTTATAGGATGTATTCTTGCAAGAGTATGAGTATGAACACTTTACTGTCTATGCCACACCTGTCACACCTTCTTCCAATAGCTCCTATGCCCCTTGTACTGACTTTTGCAATGTTTAATACTTAGGTCCGAGCTGAATTTTGCCCAACTTTGCAAAATTAATGATTATTCGGCCAATCATGACTCTCTGTGAATGAATGATATTCCATCGCAAAGAGGAGTAATTTGGCTTTTTGGTACATTGAATGAAAAGGATGCAGTCAGCATTGGTTTTATGTTTTCTTCCAATATTGCACCAGGCTCCGTACACTGACTTTTGCGATGTTTATAACTTGGTCCAAAGCTAATTTTGGCCCACTTTGCAAATCAGGGCTTGCATTTAAGGTACATGTTAAGGACTCAAAAATAATTTGGAGGATGCAAAAATTGAAAATATTTCCGTTTTTTGGACGCAAAATTTTTTTAGGTCAATACTACAATGTGTTTACAACGATACCTAACAAAAACAAATAATTATGATCTCTCACCTTTATTTGAATCGTAAATAAGGCTCAACATGTTGAATATTTACAATTAACAAATAATCATGATTCTCTCGAATTTTTTCGACTTTGTTTATTTTTAGATTTGAAACCATGACACACCATTCAGAAACAAATATTAGGTTATTCATGAAATAGAATGTATTCATTGTCGAATGAACGAACATGCATTTATTCAGTCCGTACTAAACGTTTACTTCCGTTTTAAATTCGCGGCAAGAAATCAAAAACAAAATTAACTTCAAGGTGTTTTGGTAAAAAATGCTTTTAAAATAAACTTATACCTCAAAACAGGCTAGAAATAGGGAACGCACTTTTTTTTCAAAGGACACACTTTTTTTAAAAATTGCGTCCTTAGGACTCACAAATTTTCTAACCTAATGCAAGCGCTGCAAATGGAATGATTACTCGCTCAACCATGACCAAATATCAATGAATGATATATCATTGTAAAGAGGAGACATGTGGCTTTATGGTGCATTGGACTAGAAAATGGCAACTCCACGGAGTAGCAAATCCCAACGAACACTACTAGTATATAAATCATCAATCTGTACAGTCACAATGTAATATTTACCATCTACTCTGACCTTCAATAAATATTTTAAATCATTGTAGTATCATGTAACCATAACAAGATAACTCTAAGTAATGACGAATTTCTGCTCTAGTCAGCCATTTTGAATTTTCAGAGGCGCAAATCAGAAAAACAATGCCATAATTGTGATCTACTCTGAAATTCCTTCAATTTGAGTATAATATAGCCATATATGTACATTTAAGAGATCAGAAAATAATTGCGAAATCCCGCATTAGGCGGCCATTTTGAATTTTTGAGGCCCGAATCAGAAAAACGTTACAATATTTGCAATCTACTCTAAATTGCCTTTCATTTGAGGTATAATAAAGCTATACTTAAAGAGACTCTATTGAGACTTCTCTGTGGCATTTTTTCTTTATTCCTTTTTGTTTTGAATTTTTAACACCATAACATTAACTAACTACTCAATATGCAACTTTTCACCACGTAGAATTTTAAAATTTTAAGTTTGAAAATTCCATTTTTATAATGGAGCTCAATGGGAAAAACGACACAATTTGAATTCTTTTCAAACGTAGCGGTGCGATTTTCTTGAAATTGACAGATATAATAAATATTGGAAAGGCGAAATGTTTGAAGAAAAATGAAGAAAATTCACCATCCTGGTTACGCAAAATATAAAAAAATGTGAAATAATCATAAAAACCTGTAAAAATAGATTGAAGGGGGTGATAGTCATTTTTAATGTGCCTCTCACTACTACAGGGTAACCATAGTTTTGGTAATGGTTTACTAATTTTAAAAGCATATCTTCCAGTATGTGTATCAAGCACAAGTAATACAATAAGTGAGTTATCATTAATTGGAATGGTATTATTGTATTCCTCAGCAATGACGACAAAAAGGTAAAATCGATCATATCACATACTAGTTCTTACCATCAGATCGATCGATTATAATGCATTTTAAACAATATGGCAATAGATCTTCAAATTCAAGAATTGAGCTAAATTGTAAATTGAGCTAAATTGTAAATTACTATTCCCTTATAACTGTATAATCCTCTTCTCCGAATCATACTGAATTATAATATTTCGATATGCTTATTTTTGCTGCTGTAGTTTAGGTCACTTGATGAGATATTCAGTAACATGCTAAATAATCACTTGTAATAAGCAATATGAATTCTTCAACACAATCATTTTCAACAGCTTTTCAACACAATCCTGAATTTAGTGATCTGACCCTTAAAATACTTTTCAGGGGGAATAGTTTGTCCACCTGTAGACGTGGAGCATCTTTTTCTAGCCATATTTTCCTATGCCTGCTGGAATACCTATTTCAGTGTGCAAGTTTAGCATTGTTTTCCCATTGATCATTTGAGTTCTCACATCAATATTATGTGGAAATAAAAATGATAAGATGTCAAAAAGAGTAGTTTACTTTATTGTAAGAAATCAAAAATAAAATAAGGTTTGGGCAGGAAGGGAACAGGTGAAATCCTTGGGATACATGAATTAATTAATTATACGAAACATATTCATGTTTCTACAATTTAGGGTAACCCTGTGTTTTATTCTACTGGGACTGGTTATACCATTGCAAAATATTACAAAAATATTATTATTTACTTATTATCATAATTCAATGTGACAATATCAGTCTTATCTTCAAATTTGTCTATTATATAATAGTTTGCCTGTAAGGTTGGGCAAGCCGTCTTTTACGTTGATTGTATAAGATGTTGATTTTGCAAAGCTCTTATGGGCTAATTCTACAATATGTACTGTAACATATATATGTAAGGGTGCCAGTATGTAGTCCAGTATATAGTAAACAAAGGAGTATTTTGGTCAACTCAATACATCTGATAAACACTACATGAAGTGTTTTCTATGCAATGATTATATACAGGCACTTATTCATTGTTACTGCGAATTTCAAAAGCCTCCAAATTGTGTGGAATAGAGCATGCAATGTTTTTCAGTTTCAAGCAGGTTTTAGTACATTCTGACCAATTGTATTTTCAGACTTATTCATTTCATGATTATGTAATACTGACCTACTTATCTGCCTAGCATATCTTTAAAAAACATCTCAAAATTAACGCAAATTCCTGTTTTCCCGTTCCCCCGTTTACGGCCCCTGGGGGTCAGAGTGAAAAACCCGGGATATACATGAAATAGATAGATGTTGTTAATATACTACCAAAATTTCAAATAATAATATTTATTATTTTGGTTTAAAATGAAAAACATAAGATTTTTGCGAAAAATTCCCGCCATTTTTTTACTGGCGGCCATCTTGAAAAAAATATTTTTTGCGTAAAACTGTTCACCAATATACATCTTTCCACCAAATATGAAGAAAATCTGTGGACTAGTATTCGAGTTATCTTCCGGACGGACGGACGGACTGACTGACTGACGGATGGAGGGCTTCACTATATCCCTACAGAACTTCGTTCGTTGGGATAATGAAATCAATGCTGTTATCACTTGTTTTGTCACGTCACTTACCCCACATAAATGACACATGTTGCATGCAGTATAAAAGCATTTGGTAAATCATGTGACCAATGACGTAGAAATTATTTAAAAATGGATGAACCAAGCGAGGAATAAGAATTTGAATAAGATTCATATTCACAATTCAGAGGGGAAATTGAGAAGTTATTAGATCATTGCAGCATGAGGCTACAAGCGATCCTTTCTTAATAGAAGATACGTGTTCGCGATCGGAGAATCACACCAGAGCTCTTGGAATATATAGATGGCGCAAGTCACGTGACTTACCCCACATCAAAACAGTGAACATTGGTTTATATAAAATCATTCGGTAAGTCACGTGACTTACCCCACAAATGAATATGTTTACCACAAATGAATATGTTTACCCAATACGATATGGTACTTGGCATCGCATATATTTATAAAATACTTATCAAATTTATATTTGATCGTGTCAAATACTGTTTTGAAGCATCTTACATATTTGTTGTGTAAGACAGTCAATTATATGTGGGATAGTAGGTACCATTTGTTGTAACTGGTTTTGTTTATGTTCGGCTTAACTTACTCCGTGGGGTAAAAACCGAAGATATTAATGTTACGAATATTGATGCAATAAATACACTATAGGCAGCGCTTGCATTAGGTTAGAAAATTTGTGAGTCCCAAGGACGCAATTTTTTTAAAAAGGTGTGTCCTTTGAAAAAAAGTGTGTCCCCTATTTCTAGCCTGTTGTGAGGTATAACTTTATTTTAAAAGCATTTTTTACCAAAACACCTTTCAGTTTATGATTTCTTGCCACGAATTTAAAACGAAAGTAAACGTTAAGTACGGACTGAATAAATGCATGTTCTTTCATTCGACAATGAATACATTTTATTTCATGAATAACCTAATATTTGTTTCTGAATAGGAAAAACTGTGGCGTGTCATGGTTTCAAATCTAAAAATAAACAAAGTCGAAAAAATTCAAGAGAATCATGATTATTTGTAAATATTCAACATGTTGAGCCTTATTTACGATTCAAATAAAGGTGAGAGATCATAATTATTTGTTTTTGTTAGGTATCGTTGTAAACACATTGTAGTATTGACCTAAAAAAATTTTGCGTCCAAAAAGCGGAAATATTTTCAATTTTTGCGTCCTCCAAATTATTTTTGAGTCCTTAACATGTACGGGACGCCGTTAATGCAAGCCCTGCTATAGGGGACAGATACAATGTATGTGATAACATTAAGTTGACATATCCATCTTCTCATCACAACCCTGAACTGCATCGATTCCATGACCATTATTTTGTTCACTCTCTTTTGTTTTCATTGATTCATTTTGCTCATCATTTGTCCCATGTGTAGGGTCACTTCCATCAACGCTATCACTGTTTTTATGAACATCCCCATTCACTTGTGACACATCAATATCTTCAGAGCTCTCCGATAAATCACTCTCAGAGTGGTAGTTCTCATCTTTATTACCAGTGGAAATAGGTTGCCCATTTGGCCTGTGCATCTTTCTGATATGAATCTTTAATTGTCTCTTTAAAGGAAATTTCTTGTTGCAATCCTCACAAGTGAATTCATGCATGGCATCATGTGCAAGTATCATGTGACGTTGCAGATATTTCTCAAGTCCGAAAGATTCCTGGCAAATTTGACAGATGTGGACTTTCTGGATAAGAAAATATGTACATAAGTTAGCATTAACTAATGAAAAACAGCAACTTCCAAAGGAAGCAAATCCAAATGATTTACAATGGCCGTATATGTCATATTCTAAGAAAATGATATCAGACAAGCAACCTTCATTCTGGTATCATTTTTGCTCCAAGATGGCTGCTGAAATGCAGAACATGAAAGAAATCAAAGTTGAAAAAGAATACTACAATACATGTATATTCTCACTTTCATTGACCTTGAAAGAAAATGTTTTTACTCATTGGATGAGGTTTAGAGTGGCACTCCAGCAGCATTTGTATCACATAAGCAATGGCGGTTTCATAAATGTCTTTCATTCATTGGTAAAACGGTACGAAAGATGTGTTCAAATTCGTGGGAAATATGTTGAAAAGTAGGTCTTAATATGTGGAGATGATGATGGCAGATGACACTTAGATTGAAAATCGGAAATTCTCTCAAATCATGACCCAGGTGTTAGGTTGTACACCTGCACCTAACATATTTGCCATATTAAGAGTTGAGAGGTGATTTGAAATATATTAAAATACTCTTCCGGGTGGCAGGGACCCGGTATTAAAAAATATTTAGAAAAGTAGCTAAAATATATTATTTTCTGTTGAATGGAGCATGTAGGTTATCGCAAACAATTTCAAACAATTCTAAATTGAATTATGAATATTTTCTGAACATGGGTGTATCTTTTAGATCCATTCATTATCTTCAAAAAAGTATATATAATGATAATTTATTTAATCAGACTTAAGTGATATTGAAGGGGCAATGGACCAATCAACATGCTTTTTCAAAAATGTTGACCTAATTTTCACCAAAAATGCAACCTTTTATTATATTGTTGAATGCCTAACTAGAACTTGCTTTGCAACATGTTCTATTTCCTAAGAGGAAAAGTTGATTGCTCCAGGAACTTTAAAAATACTGAATTTGGATGACCAAAATGAACTGTAACCAATGGATGGCATGAGATTTTTCAATGGAGAAATAACATTGGGAACATTTATCTTAAAGCAATTAAGTTTTCCTTTCAAGAAATATTTGATACATTAAAATAAAGAATAGTAATGCATTAAACAATGTAAAAACAAGGCACAGATGTGAACAATATCGTACCTAAAACACAGCAGTGTGACAGTGAACAATTTAGGACGGAAAATCCAAAATGGCCACCTTAAAATTTACCCAGAATGCCCAAAAACTAATCAGTTCTTAACTTTGATACGTAGAAACATCCCTGAAAATTTCAGATGAATCCATCAAATGGTTTGGCTGGAAACCTGTAGACAAGTCTTGAAAGTGAAGATTTTAGGAAAGAAAATCCAAAATGCCCACCTTAAAATTAACCCAGAATGCCCAAAAACCAATCAGTTGTTAACTTTGATATGTAGAAACATCCCTGTAAATTTCAAATGAATCCGTCAAATGGTTTGGCTGGAAACCTGTAGACAAGTCTTGAAAGTGAAGATTTTAGGATGGAAAATCCAAAATGGCCACCTTAAAATTTACCCAGAATGCCCAAAAACTAATCAGTTGTTAACTTTGATACGTAGAAACATCCCTGTAAATTTCAAATGAACCCGTCAAATGGTTTGGCTGGAAACCTGTAGACAAGTCTTGAAAGTGAAGATTTTAGGACGGAAAATCCAAAATGGCCACCTTAAATTTTACCCAGAATGCCAAAAAACTAATCAGTTCTTAACTTTGATACGTAGAAACATCCCTGAAAATTTCAGTTGAATCCCTCAAATGGTTTGGCTGGAAACCTGTAGACAAGTCTTGAAAGTGAAGATTTTAGGAAAGAAAATCCAAAATGCCCACCTTAAAATTAACCCAGAATGCCCAAAAACCAATCAGTTGTTAACTTTGATATGTAGAAACATCCCTGTAAATTTCAAATGAATCCGTCAAATGGTTTGGCTGGAAACCTGTAGACAAGTCTTGAAAGTGAAGATTTTAGGACGGAAAATCCAAAATGGCCACCTTAAAATTTACCCAGAATGCCCAAAAACTAATCAGTTCTTAACTTTGATACGTAGAAACATTCCTGAAAATTTCAGATGAATCTGTCAAATGGTTTGGCTGGAAACCTGTAGACAAGCTGAAAAGTGAGACGCCGCCCGCCCGCCTGCCCGCCCGTCAAGCTGACGACAATATTGTACCTTAGGTACGATAATAGGTATGATAAAAAATGAAAATGAGGTTAACATCTTTGAAAAGTGTGTTGATGGGTTGATTGCTAGTTAAATATCTCCGAGTTTGTTTGACTTTATCATTACTGTATATAATTTTCTTTGAGATAATGAATGGATCTAAAAGATAAATCTGTCTTCATTGTCAGAAAATAGTCATAAACCAAGATATAACCGTCTGAAATTGTTTGCGATAACCTCCATGCTCCTTTATACACAAAGTTGTTGAGATGTTGATCTTTATTATCTGAAAGTTTCATGTAATTATATTAGAAAATAGCAAAGTTAGAGCAGGGCGTCCAAGACTTTTGGATCACCCCTCGTACATGTCCCCCATGACTAACCTGGCTGAAGTGATGCCTCATATGGTCTTTCACTTGGCTCTTCGATGTGAATGATTTCCCACATACAGGGCAAACTAATGACTTGGGGCCATTGGTGTATCTCCTATCACCATCCTTACCTGCAAGTGAAATCAGAATATTGTCATGACTGTTTTGTCTCTTAGCCCTATATAGTAGGATTCGACTGCAATGTTAACCAAAACCAAAAACCATATACTAGAACAGCAACTCAACGGTGTACCAAAACCCACTGAACATAACATGTTTTGTTAAATACCCGCCATCCTAAAAATGTCTTCTTGAGCAGAGCTCATTTGTTCCTAGGCATCAGCATATAAAAGGATCCGTTACCTAATTGTATTGTATTTTGTTTACCACCAATGAAGGTGAGGAATAGTTCTTGGGTATCGTATACGGTCGTAATTTACGTAATTAACATGGAATATAGACCAAGAAACCCCTCCTTGAAGGAGCCCTGTGTTCTTTTATGTGCACTTATACATAGACATACAAGTACACACCACAGCCTTTTGTATGAGTTGCGGACCACTCAGTCGAACACCCTGAAGTACTTCACGCAAACAAGCAAATTTAGTCTTGCCTGAACCGGGGATCGAATCCAGGACCTATTCATAAGAGGTACCTGCGCTACCGCTGAGCTACACCGGTGGACTTTTTATGTACCTGAAGGTGCCCCCAAAGATTTCATTGAAAATAATATGGAAATATTTACTTTTATCAATTATGAACACTATCAAAAATGAAAAAATTAGGTAATTTGGATTCTTATTTGGATTAAAACTAAGGTCATTCAGTGCATTTAAGTTTGACTTCGCAAATCATTCTAAATATCATTTTAGGGGATGTTAGTCTTCATTCATGATCATTTTAAGTATGTTGACCATTCCTCAATCGATATATCAGAACATCGTTAAGGTAGAACACAAAGGGCAGCATATTGAAAACACATATCATAAAAAAACTATAAACTTAATATATCTTTTGAAAAAATGAACCTTAATAAATGTGTTCTCAACAATAGTACCATGATCACCTCAGTTGGTATACAGTAGGCATTCAACCTAGATGGTAGATTTAAATAGCATTAAGGTGGGACACAAAGGGCAACATACTGAAAACGCAAATCATAAAATAACCCCTAAAATAATATATCATATGATAAAATGAACCTTGTTAAATGTGTTCTGAACAATAGTACCATGATCACCCTTATTGTGTATACTGCGTTTAACTAGGTATTCAACCTAGAAATTATGTCAAAACATCATTAAAGATTAGGTAGAACGCAAAGAGCAACAGTTGAAAATGCAAAACCTAAATTCAAGCTAAATCTAGTTGCGACTTTCCATTGCATTATATTTTCATTTGGCATTGTCAAAGAAATTAAAACAAAGATAGATGACATAATGGTCTAAGTTTATTTTATTTGAACACTTAACAAGCAATATTCATTCAAACAAATGACTAGCCGAAACATATTTTTGGGATTATCAGGCTCATTGCTTACATATCACATGTTCTAATAGTATACCCCATGAACAGATTTTTGAAAAACATATTTTAAGTTACCTTTTATTAATTGTTTTATTGCAAATGACACATGTTTTTCTTTGATCTTGTTATCATTGAAAATTGAATATACATGTTTTGAATTGAGTGGCCATATTGAAAATTCCTTCTTGAGCTGAGGTCTTACACCCATAAGGCATAAGCTTATAAAATTTGAACCAAATCCATTGGCCCATATTTGAGCTATTGTCTGGATAGATAAACAGTCAGATTGACGGATGGGCTGCTTTTCTATATACCTCACGATCTTCATTCGGTGGGATATCTACTTTCATGACTGAAACTATTATACATGTCTCAAATATGAGTTAAAAAGCTTATGAATTTGTAAATGTACTTTCATGACTGAAACTATAATAAGTTTATTTATCTACTATATGCATACATGCATCAAATATGAGTTAAAAAGCTTATGAATTTGTAAATGTACTTTCATGACTGAAACTATAATAAGTTTATTTATCTACTATATGCATACATGCCTCAAATATAAGTTAAAAAGCTTATGAATTTGTAAATGTACTTTCATGACTGAAACTATAATAAGTTTATTTATCTACTATATGCATACATGCCTCAAATATAAGTTAAAAAGCTTATGAGTTTGTAAATGTACTTTCATGACTGAAACTATAATAAGTTTATTTATCTACTATATGCATACATGCACCAAATATGAGTTAAAAAGCTTATGAATTTGTAAATGTACTTTCATGACTGAAACTAGAATCAGTTTATATTGTATATATCTACTACTGTATATGCATACATGTATCAAATATGAGCTAATAAAGGACCCACGGTCCTGTGCTCACACAGTTTGGAACCTTCAGAGGAATGAATATACTGACTCTCAAACAAAAATATTGATTTGGATTTGTAGTCTCGAACTTTGAGAAACTTAGATAGCACAGTTGTGTGACCTAGTTTGATGACCTTTGACCTGAAAATTTTACTTATTCAGAGCTCAGTAAGGTCTTTTGAGATTAAGCTGACCAAAATTAATATCCAAAAATCAATTTGAAAAATCAATTTTTTGACCTTTGAAGGTCACTGAAGGTCAAGTAAAGGTCAAATTCTAAAACTAATGTCAGATTTGAACTTCTGGCAACTTGTAGATGATTTTCCCCAAAAATTGGTCAAATTGAAGCAAGTTGAAAAATAACTCTGTTTTTTACTTCAAATATCTCAAAAACGGTAAAAATTTAATGCTGACATAATATATTGAGCAATATGTAGGGAATGCTTAAATCTAGTAATGATGTAATTCATTGCAAAAAATGATCAAGTATAAGGCAAACTTTGAGAAACTTGTCAATCACAAACCCTGCCATTGACTTTATACATGAGAAAGTATCCTGAAAATGAGTCCTAGTTTTTGTCAAATTTTATAGAGTAAACACCAAAAACTGTAATTCCAAGAGCTTTGTAATCTTCAGAGGACATAAGTTGCATATACACCAACTACTAAAAATTATTTGAAAGTTCTACTTCAACAAAGTGTCTCGTATTAACAGAAAATTTGACTTTTTGACGTCAAAATCAGCAATTTCTCAGAAACCAGGCGAACTTGGAAAATGGCGATGATAGGTCAAATAGGCATTATGGATATGCATAAAATGAATGAGGATATGACTCAATCCGAATAGAAGTTTTAATTTGTGCGGCCAATGTTGACGGACGGACCAACAGACGCCCGGTCGATCCCAAAGGCTCACTGTGTGAGCCAATCAGTTCCAAGATTTTCATACTAAGAATCATCCCTGAAAAATTGATCCCTCAAATGGTTAACCTGAAAACGCAGACAAGACTTTACAGACAAGATTTTAGGACGGAAAATCAAAAATGGCTGCCTTAACATTTACCCAGAATGCCGAAAACCTAATTAGTTCTAGATTTTCATATTATAAATCATTCCTTAAAATTTGAAATCGATCTGTCAAACTGTTATCCTGAAAATGGATAGACAAGCCTTCACAGACACGATTTTAGGACGGAAAAGCCAGAATGACCAACTTAAAATTAACGCAGAATGACTAAAAAGTAATCAGTTCTAGATTTTCATACTAGAAATCATTCCTAAGCCTCAAACAGTTAACCTGAAAATGCATAGACAAGACTTTACAGACAAGATTTTAGGATGGAAAATCCAAAATGGCTGCCTTAACAATTATCCAGAATGTCGAAAAACTAATCAGATCTAGATTTTCATACTAAAAATCATCCCTGAAAATTTGAAAGGATGGGTATCGATATGGCGAACTTTTTGAGCACACATTTCTCTTAAACCAGTCATCAAAAAAACACATTGTAAATTTAATGGTCATCTTTTGAATGGTAACAATATAATTTGAAAAAATATATATACTTTCATCTATATTGTTTTAGAAAACACACCAAACACTTGTTTTGTTCTTGGTTTCATGTTTCCAGAGTGAAAAAATGAAACATCTTTCTGAACCTCATTGGAACAAAACGACATAAACGCAACATGTCTAGGTCTCTCAATATTGTAATTATACAAAGGGATTGATTTTAAAAAAGTATCTTGTTAACCTCTTGACTACCTGGAGTGACGAGATTTCTCGTAACCTCTTGACTACCTGGAGTGACGAGATTTCTTGTCACCTAAGAAATGACCTTGAAACCCAGAGTGACGAGAAAATCCGTCACAAAATTGTTCACTAAAAATGGCTGTTATTTGAACAGTTTTCATCCAATTTACACAAATTTTTTTTAAAATGTGAAGAAATGATCTCTGCCTTCTAATCTTACTAAGTTGAGCATCTGTAGCTGTATAGGTATGTAGTATAATGTCAAAAGGTGGTAAAAATGAGAAAAATCTCTGGTTTCAACTGATTTTAGAGCCTCGGATTCAAGAGGTTAATGAAACAAAAGGTTTATCTTGATTTTAATCCATTTCGGGGGGATTTTGTTTTAATTTTTTGAATACTTTTTTAAAATCAACCAAAAATTCCTTTGTATAACTATATAATATTGAGAGGTCTAAAAACATGTTGTATATGCTATTTTGTTCCAACAAGGTTCAGAAAGACATTGTATTTCATTCTCAAGAATTGGTAGAAAGGAGCAAAAACAATTGCACTCAAAATACAAAAAATGTTAACAAAAACAGTAATATAAAATATTTCTAAATAATTTTCGCATTAAATTGTTGTCAATCAGTCAACATTACATAAAATACCGTATTTTTTTACAGAATGTTTTCAATGATTGGTTTAAGAGAAAAACATTGTTGAATTCAGTTCTCCATATCGATACCAATCCTTTATCCGTGAAATGGTTATCCTGAAAATGAGTAGACAAGACTTTAACGACACAATTTTAGGACGGAAAATCCAAAATGGTCACCTTAAAATTTACCCAGAATGCCAAAAAATTAGTCAGTTCTAGATTTTCAGAATCATCCCTGAAAATTAGAAATTGATCTACCAAATGGTTCACCTGAAAACACATAGACAAGACTTTACAGACAAGATTTTAGGACGGAAAATCCAAAATGGCTGCC